AGGTCTTAGTCTTTATGACTAATGAATTTTAATAAATCCTACGGGATACCTATCTTCCTACAAGCAAGGCCCCAGCGGTATGCTGGTGTGTGTCACTAATTATTTGATTTTGAGTTTTTACTTGCTGTGTGGCTTTTCTTGGATGATAATAAATTAATTTTATTTTATTTTAATTTTATTTTAATTTTATTTTTTTTATTATTTTTTTTTTTACAATATTAATTTCTTAAAAAATTTTATTATCTTGGTATTTTTTATAAAAAATGCTTCGTTACATTTAAAACAAAAAATTTTCTCTTTTAGATTTTCCATAAGAGGGATTTAAAAACAATTCTTTTTTACCTTTACTTCATCTTTCCCCCCTTCCGAATAACTACGCTCACTTTTAAAAATTCTGTACGTAGTTATTGGGGGGGGGGGAAAGATGGGGTAGCGCCGAAATATTTATGAACAAACGGGCTTCATCATAATACTGTTAATCATGCACTTAATTTTGTAAACCCCCAAGACGGCGTTTACACGCAGAATATTAAATTACATTGGTCGAAACAGAAACTTAAAATAAAAAATATGAAAGGAGTTATGAGAAACAATTTACATCTACATCTTGCTTTTATTGTGTAAAAACACAACAATTTTTCAAATCTTCTAGCATGTTTGGTGTGACTACTCGGTGTTTATTAAAGTGTTTTGCTTTATTGTTTATATCCATTGTATTTTAGTATCAAAATTATTTAAATATTTTTAAGGAGGCGTATAATATTATGAATCACCCCGGGGGCATGTAATGTGATTGATCCAGTTTTTTTATAATAACATTTTTTAAAGGGAGAACAAGATACCATAAGACGTTAGGTCTGGCTTACAACAAAAATACTACTCTATACATCAAGACTCGGTATTCGATGATATTGTTTCTACAACCACTGTCGATTTTAATATTAGCAAAAGAACATTACAATATTTTATATGGGACTTGTACCTGTATAAAAAAACAGAGAATAGTATATGGTCATGTATAATTAGTTGTGCTTCTGTGAAAGAATGTTTAACACTTATTTTTAAGCAACTGATTATAGATTTTAATAAGCTCTTTGGCCTGGGCGTAAAACGTTTAGATAATTCTATTTCGACTAATGATATTTATTTAAATAGAACTGTTAATATTAATACCATTGTCACTAACATTTTTAGAACTAAAAATTTGTCTATCTGTAAGCAAATGTATAAAATAATGTTTGAAATGGCTTCTAGACTTTTTGAAATTAATGATAAAGATATTATTGTTTGCTGCGGAAGGTATTATGTATATGTTTGATCTGAAAAATAGAATTCGTAAGCCTGTTCTAGCACGAGTTCTATATGACGATGATGAATCAACTAATAATGATAATCAAGTGTGCGTTATAAAAACGTCTAACTTTAAAGCAGAATTACAAAGGTCGCGATTCGAAAATCATGGTGTACTTCGACAATGACAGAAACAAACCAGCATTCTTAATGGGCTACAAATTTTATAACAAATGTGAATGGCATCAAATATACGATTCTTGTTTTTTAGGCGTCGTGGGATTTTTTAATGAAGGTAGTATGCAAAACTTTGTAAGAATGCAACCAGACTCAATAATTCGGAGAAAAAAATAAAGCAAGAGAATTGAACTATATTTTGTTTTAGCCCATTTTAAAACTTTTAACCCATTTTAAAAAAAGCTGCGAGAAAATAAAAAGCGTGAATTGAACCATCTTTATTGTTCAAAAAGAGAATTATTGAAATTTAGCCCTTGAATAACAAACAATTAAAGATTTAAAACTTATTATAAATAGAAAATTTAAACACAACGTCAAATAAATATTATTCTAAGTGCTGTTTATGGGTACCAAGTTATGCTTTTATACGCTTTTTGGCATGAAGCCGGTAATTTTCAATATTTTGGGTGTGCACCGTAGGATCTTCAGAATCAACAAAATAAAGAGAACGACTTACAGAACCGTAACTAAAAGTAGCTGAGGTGGTTAAAAAGCCGCATGCTCTCCGTTGATCGCTTATGATCATACTTCCCGGTGTAATATCTCTCAATTATTAACTTAAGGGTCTGGATTGTTCAATTTGCAATTGGTATAGGAACACACCTTTTTATGTATCCTTCAATCATTCCAAAAATCCACTGTGAATTTACACTATGCCCACGGTTGTACTTTCTTTAAAGACAGGGTTTTCGTCTATTTCAACAATTTTTTTATAACCATTTTCGCCATGCCAGCCCAAAATTATATCTTGCTCCAAAAAGTAGTGCTGGCATGTTTCTCTAACAAAAAAACACCATTCCATTACAGTCTTTCCGTTAAGTTCTAACTCGAAAGAATTTCATCTTGTCGTTTGTTTTGTGTCCAATGATATAGAAATTTAGAAACGCTTCTAAAAGATTTTTTTACGGTAGAAAAAAAGGAATTACTGCGCAAAGAGGCTCCTTTTTTGCAAACATTACACTTTCAAATTAACCCAACTATGTTTTATATATTTCCTATAGGAGAACTATAGCTATTGCAATTAGTGCATGCTTTAAAATTTTTGATTGGGTGTAAAGAAGTAAGGAAACTAGAAATCGCATAACCTCTAATTCATTTCTTTCAAATGCAAAATTTAAAAGAATTAGAAAAAAATGTTTTGGATAAATGTAGAAATAGTGTGGTTCCGTGTGTAAAAGCTGCATAAAATCTGTTTTAATTAAAAATAAAGAAAAATTATGAATTTGTTAGATGTTGTAATAAGTGTTGCATAATTTATAGAAAAAAGTCTTGGTTTGAAAGGACACTATTTTTGATAATATAAAAATTTTAAAAATTGTTTTTTATAATTATTTAACTGTGGTTAGCTAAGGTCAATACGTCTCTAATATCATTTATTTTATGAATATCAAGAAGGTGTGTATATAGAATTTAAAAAAAGTTTCCGAATAATTAGTAATTAAGTTTAATTCGAATATTAATTACATAGGAAATAAAATTATTGTAATTGATGAATCGGAGATAGGTAAAAGAAAATACAATAAAGGTCATCCTATAAAAGATGTATGGATTTGGGGTTTGTTGAAAGAGCAAATAAGAAAAGAATTTTATTATTTCGAGTCAATGATAGAACGAAATCAACCTTGGGATTCATTTAAGTAGAAGTGTAGTACTAAATTCAATGAATAAGGCGCCTGTTGGAAAGGCAACACCAAATTAGAAAAGATTGGTGTAAAACATTCTACAGTAAATCTTTCTAAGTATTTTAAGGACCCAAATATATGTGTTCACACCAATACTATAGAAGCTTACTGGTCTGCTCTTAAAAAGATATAGATATAGGACTAGAAACTTTTTAAATCCTTACTTAGTAGGATTTATGTTGATAAAAAGCTACAAAATTAATCCTCTACATAGTTGTTTTAAGCTTTTATTAAAATAAATTTTCATATAATTTTTTTATAATTCTTTCTTTTAAATCTTCTGAATTTCATTTTTAAGGGTAAAAAATTTTAGGGCCCACTTTTTTGGTCAATCGGGGTTACAAACTCCTAAAATTAAACTTGAAATAAAAAAACGAAAGGTTTGGCTAAAAAATAAAGAAGTGAGTTTTGATTTGAATTTATGTACAGAAAAGGAAATAGTACTTTAAAATTTGAATCATTTATTAAAATATTTTAGTGTTTTTTTCTACAAGTATCTTCATTATCTATTAAATTTTATTTATTTTTTATTACGTGGTGTCTTAAGGATTTGATCCAAAAGAGGGGGTGTCTAAGGACCTTATTCGATAGTTCAGCTATTTTAAGTGATATCTGAACAAAATTACATAAAAAACTTTCTGCTTTTAAATTTAATAATTTTAAACAACCTTCTTTTCATTCCTCTACCAACGAGGTAACTTTTTTTGATATGCTATTTACTAATTCGTTTTTAAATTAAGTTTTAACACACACTAATAATAGTTTATTTAATAAGTTGTGTTATATTTTATTAAACCCTAATTATGTTAAGCACTAATATGGGGGCGATACGAACAGTAGAGTTATCAAGTGATAACTGTGGCCAAGAGGCCAAAAGAATATTGGAAGAGCCAGAGATTTAAATTTATGCTTTGGATTTAGAAAACGTAGAGAAGGAACATTGGAATAAAGAGATTTTTGATAGAGAAAGTGGGAGTTTAAAAATTATTATGGTCCGAAATTTAAGTAAAGAAAAAAATAATGAAGAGTTGAGAAAAATGTTGCTTTTGAGAGTTAGAGAAGAAAAAGAAACAAGAGCTATAGAATATCAAGGTCTGACAGAGAAGGTATTGAGTACGGTTAGGGAAGTTATGAGTATGTATAAACGAGAAGGAGGAGGTGCAGCAGTGAAGTGTTTTTATTGTGATAAACCAGGACATGTTGCAAGGAATTGTTTTTTAAGAAAGGCCAAAGAAGGCTATAATTATAATAAAAATGATTTGAAGTATTTTAATTTTAGTGGTGAAAACGACACTGGTTCTGCAACTATTTACGAGAGAGGATATAAAAAGATCTATAAATGATGAATTAAAGTTGTGATCCCACAGAAAAGGTTTGAAAATACAACTGAAGGAAAAAGAAGGAACTCAATCTAGAAGATTATATGAAGGAATTTTTAGAGGTGTTAACGGATGACAAGTCTAAGATTAAATATTGTAAGATAGAAAAGCGTAAAATAACAACAGAGAAAGGAAAAGAAGTTTTTAAGAAAGGGCAGATGATCCCGCAGGCACTAATTAAATATACCGTGAAACATTTGGAAAATTTAGAAGAAAGTGGTATTATAAGAAAATCATCTTCGACATGGAGAAACACGGTAAGGGCATTAAGAAAACCTAATGGAAGTATACGACTAGTAAGCAATCTGATGCTTTGAATGATATGGTGGGAAAAAAGATA